GTCATAAAAAAATCAGATATGAGTCAGATGGGTCCAAAAAATCGGATTTGGGTTGGATTTGCCTGCAGTGTGAACGTAGCCAGAGATGAATTAATCCTGTTGATGTTGTGTTAGAACCTGCAGCGTGATTCAATCACACGCTGCAGAGTTTTCATCCTCGTTCCTCTTTGATAACACGTGTTTCCTCCCAGCCGGAGCGCAGCGTCACGTATGAGCAACGAGGAGAAGCGGGTGCTGGATAAAGCCAACGAAGAGGTGTGGAACGACTTCAGACAGGCGGCCGAGGCCCACCGACAAGTCCGCAAGCACGTCCGTGGCTTCCTCAAACCAGGCCTGACCATGATCGAAATCTGGTGAGGATGCTTTTATTTTAGAGAGATTGTTTTTGTTTTGTATTTTCCAATTTTAAATACTGCTGTAATATTATTATGTAATTTATTGACTTTAATCATGTTATATTTTACTATTTTTTGTTTCAAAACTGTTAATATTTAAGTCTACTTTTAGTTAAACACAAATGATGCTTAAGTGCTTTACTTGTACTCATTTATTTAAAAGTGGTTTGTTTTTTCATCAGTAGAACTCACTGCTCATTTTCAAACTGCAAATTAWATCTCTTTGTTGTGAAAATGTAAACATAACCTTGGTTATAATAGAAAGTCACTTCGGAAAAAAATTTCATGCTAAATGACAAGGTGTGACAAATAAAACTCGATTATTAAATCGTCTTCATTATTTGTTTACATTTAGTTTCAGCTGCTGCTGTTTATGAAACAGGACGGGTTGGGTCTTATTAATCATGATTCATTATTTGACTAAATCGCCCAGCTCTTTTTAACTATCTTGATCAGTTTTCTTCATGGGTAATCAATTATTTTTAAGAAAATACAAAGTTGCCAGGCAGCATCATCAATATTCCCTCGATAATAAATTTTGTTTATTCCTATAAGTGGCTGGTTGCACAAACCAGATGTCATCATTTCATTATATTARTTAGATGAAAAGCTTTTTGCCTTTTCACATCTAGACTGTTTCCTCTCTGTTACTACCTCACTGAGTTATAAATTATATCCACATGTATTTCTGCAGCTGAACCACACCCACTTAATTCAGTTAGGAGTCTTTTTTTTTCAATTATTGTTTTTTCCCTGTAAATCAGATTCTGATTGGCTAAAAAGTTTCTGTTCCTGCCTCGGTTTTAGACCAGGAAATATAAAAATCTCATCACTTGTTATCAGTTCTTCTATTTTTGTAAAAAAAAAAAAAAAGGCAAAACTTATAGACACAAAAGCTAAACCTTTTTTGTGGTTRGTTTGTGAGACAGCTTGATAATAATAAGCTGAAATGTAGCAAACTGCCTGCTGTTGTAGCAGAAGATGGTTATCCAGTTATAAATGGTTGTTGATTAAAAAAAAACTGTATCTGGGTTACTAATATAACACCGGTTTCTCTTTACTCCCCTCGGTTCAGCGAGCGTTTGGAGGACTGTTCTCGTAAGCTGATCAAGGAGAACGGGCTGAACGCCGGCCTGGCCTTCCCCACCGGCTGCTCCCTGAACCACTGCGCCGCCCACTACACCCCCAACGCCGGAGACCCCACCGTCCTGCAGTACGACGACGTCTGCAAGATCGACTTCGGCACACACATCAACGGTAAGAACAGGAGCGTAGTGCTGCTGCAGCCGTTTATTTCTGCTGATGCTGGAGAGCAGGGAGGGCTCAGGCTCCGCCTCCGCTGGGGCGTCTGTGATGAACGCCTGCTGTCAGGAAAGTGTAATTAAATGTTCCGCTCTCTGCATCCATCTGCTCGGATCGAGTCCAGCTCACTTTCCAGCCGTTCTGCGCAGCTTCCTAAAAGAAATCAGACATCGAAGGAAGTTCTGTTCTGTTTGTTTTCAGGGCGAATCATRGACTGTGCCTTCACCGTCACGTTCAACCCAAAGTACGACAAGCTGCTGGAGGCCGTCCAAGACGCCACCAACACTGGAATCAAAGTAGGACTGGAGCACTGACATCACGTTAAATCTGRGCCGAGTCTGGAGCTGAGGCTTCTCCTCTGCTGGTTTGTTGCAGAACGCCGGCATCGACGTGCGCCTGTGTGACGTGGGAGAAGCTATTCAGGAGGTGATGGAGTCCTACGAGGTCGAGCTCGATGGGAAAACATACCAAGGTGCGGTGTTCATGGAGCTGCCATGTAAAATATATAATCAGTCCGTTTTTTTTTCAGTTAAATTCCTCTATTCATTTCATTAAAACAAAGCAAATAAATTTATATACAAAAAGAAGAAAAATGTGAGAAATATGAATGTCAAAATCACAAATAAAGTGAAATGAAAGGCAGCCGAGAGAAGAAAAAAATCTTACATCTGCCCCTTTTTTCCCAAGAATAAGTTCGTATAACAAAAATCTAAATAAAAAAACAAGAACATCTAATCCCTCTAGAACAGGGGTTCTTAACCTTTTTGACCTCGGAGCCCAATTTGTTGAACATAAAGTGACACGAGGACCAGTCAGACATTACGAATGTGTGGATCAAAAATAATTATTCTAAATCTTGATTTAATTTTTATTGTATTTGCATTCCAGCTAAACTATCATAACTAACATAACTAAATTAAATACACTTACAG